GGAAAGAGGGTGGAAGGGCTTGACCCCAAAACTCACAACCCAGTATGAAGTCCAGAGGGAAAGGAATGTGTTACAGGATGTGGAAGCTGGCTTGAGTCTGAATCTGTGGCCTCAGGCTGGTTTCTGCAGACACCTCCCCCATAGAATTACATACTGAGTACACAGTGGGCACTTATACAGTAAGTCCCCGACTTACAAACGAGTTCCGTTCTGGGAGAACTTTCGTCAGTCAAGTTCGTTCGTGAGTCCAACAAAGTGAGTCTTATACACCTTTGACACAAATGTACAATGTAAAGCCAATGGTTGAATGATTCATGTTATAAGAAGGAGCGACATCTACCATCTTTTCACCTCGGTCCAATCTCTCAATTATTTTCACTTGTTTCCATAGCTATTGCTTTGCGCTTCCCAGCAGTCCCCTCCACATCACCTCTGCTTTTCCTCTTGCTTCCAGACATCCCAGGCTCTGGTTGGGCACTGGACTACTGTACACTATCGCACTGGACAGTAAGCACACAGCAGCACCACTGTGACAGTGTCTGGCAGACACGTGAGCTACTTCTGCAATTTGTTCGCATCTACAAATGTTCGAAATGCGAGGTCCGTTCGTATCCGTGAAAGTTGGCAACTCGAATGTTTGTAAGTTGGGGACTTACTGTATTTGTTAATGAGACACACATTGTCTTTTCCTTCTGGGATTTTGCATAAACAGGTTTTTCTGCTTGGAACACTTCTCTCTTCCTAGACTGCACAGGTATATACCTTCTGGGGCCTCAACTTAGACCTCATGTCTTCAGAGGAAGCATTCTTTGACCACCCCAAGGGGGTTAGGTACCACTCTTCTGGGTGTCCATAGCACTCTAAACATATCCTATCATAGTACTCAACCCCAATGGACTATGGCCGCCCGTCTCCTGGACTAGAGTGGGAGTGCCCCGAAAGCAAAGACCACAGATTATTCATCTGATTCCTCAGTGCCTAGCAGCTAGTAGGCCCTCAAAGCATAAATGCTGACGAACTTACTGAATCAATGAGTTCTATTTCCCTCCTCTTTCATTCATGACAATAAAGAGCTCCAGGAGACAAAACAAAGTCCCAGTTTTTAACAGAGTGCCAAAACAGAATGCTAAAATGTTTTCAAAGTACTATAATTCTAGTTTAAAACCAAGTCACCAGCATAGAGTTTTGGTTTTAAACACTGACATCAACTGTAAAAAGAAGAAATCCCCTGACAGTAAACAGTGGGAACTCACTATCTATACAGCCTGGCTCCCCACCACCTGCTTCCCCAAATCCCATCTGGCTAAGAGAATGGGTACGTGTCCAACGGTTTCACAGCTTCATTTCATTTTATGCTAGCAGCAAGCAGGTGAGAAAGCTGTTATGACCAGGATGCCGTCTTATGTAAGCTTTAGGATCCTGAACAGGGGAGACAGAGGACAGACAGTATTCTCACCAGGGTGGGGCTTTAGATGTGGGATCGTCTCAATGACCTCTAAATCTCACCTTCTCTTCTGACCTATCTTACTCCCAATTTTACCTTCCATTTCATTCTCGAAAAACATTTCGGATGATTATCACTGTTTTTTCAGGCCTATGTCTATATCAAAGACTTTTAATAAAGGGACATCTGGTTGTATGATCTTGGGAGATGCGTGACTATCAAGCTTCTTGAGTCTCAGTTCCCTTGTCTGTAAAATGAGGATAACAATGGCCAAACTGGGTTCTTGTGAGTTTTAAATTCCATAATACATGTGGAGAACTTAGCCCAATGCTTGCCACATAGTAGGCATACACTATGAGAGCTGCTTTTGCCGTAAGACCCAGAGAATGCAAAATTCTGAAAGGGGACTTTCAGGAACAAAAGGAAAGAGAAGGACATTGGACTATCTGGGAACTATCTGACAGAGAGTCCAGAACTCTGTACAAGGGATAATGGCCATGCGGACTTCAGAAATTTTTAGAATGTTTGTCACTCTTCCATGTTGTCATTTTCTCCTGCATTCTTACTTTATTTAGATCAGTTCAATTCTTTAAATGAAAAAAGGCCTAGTATACAGGGGAGTCCATTTTGGAGGGAAGAGAAAGAAACTCTCAGAGACCAGGCAAAAAGGCTTAGTAGAGGAGGGAACAGCTGCAATGTTTGGGGGCCAACAGGACAAAAGAGAGGGACATTCAGAATGTTGACACGAGAACAGGAGATCCCTGGAGCCTCATTTTGAGAAGTTCCACAACCCCTCAGACCTCAGCAGACTGTTCCTCATTCCCTCCCTGCTGCTCCCAGAGCTCTGGCCCACAATGCCAGCGTCACAAACCAAATCAGTTTGGGGAATGCTCTGCTTGGGCTCTCGGTAGTTCCATGACCCTACCTGGTGTAACCTGACCCACATACCCAGTTACCAGGATGTTTAGAAGACACCTGATTCTTTTTGTGACACTGTGGTTACCCTAAACCGCCTAAGACATGACTACAAAGAAGAGAATCCCAGTCTCTGGCCTCAGTCCATACACGAACAAGTCAAGTCGCCTGAATCTGGGTCAGAAGGGAACGCTGCCGTTCTGGGGCAGAGGGAGAATTACTGCCTGCCTGACAGTCCACATCCACAGGGCAATGGTTTTCAACTCTGGTTTGGCATCAGTCACTTGGAGAGCTTTACAAAACACAGATTTCCGGGCCATCCTAGACCTACTATGTACTTCAGGGGTGATGCCTGGGAATACATAGCTCCAAAAAGTGCCATAGGTGACAGATGTGAAGCCAAGGTTGAATACAATGCTTCATGGAAGTACCATGTTTTGAACTTCTGGAAAATTAGTAGGGTTCCACACAAGGAGACAAAACAGCTGTCTTTTTCCCCTAAGTGGCATCTGCAACCAGTCTGTTCCAGCCTCCCTAGCTCTCTAATAGGAGGTGATCAATCAGGAGGCAACTGCACTCAACTGCCTAGCCTTCCCCGACCTTTTCTCAGGGTCCCTGAACATAACATCGGAGATACCTGCCTCAGCACCACAGAACTCAATAAAAGGTGTACTCCTTACTGAAATCAGATACAAATTCAGTAACATTTTTGGAGCACCTGTTTTGTGGCAGGCCCTGCACCAGACACATAAATCACAAGCCTGTGAGAGAGGTGCTACATTGTTCCTGTTTGGGGTGCATTCCTGGAAAGGGAGTGCTCATCAGAGCTTTACCAGCTCATTACAGCACAGTCCTCATGGTAATTTATTACTTATGATCAGCATACAATTTGGGGTTTAGTGCTGATTTATTACTTATGGGCAACATACAATTTGGCGTTTATTGACTGATGAGTCTTCTAAAAATTCTTTTGGTCTCAATATTCCAATGGTGGGTATGGCTAGGCTGAGTATATGACCTTGAATTTATCTGAATTTTATCCCCTTGGGCTGTCAAAACATCCAGCGTGTCTTTTTTTTGTGCATCTTTTTTTTTTTTTTTTTTTTTAAGCTGAGCCATCCTGCTACCTGTTGGCAGCTCAGCGGCTGCTCAGCTCGGGCTGGACTCGAACCCCTGTTGCTCAGAGCTCAAACTCTTGAGCGAGCTCTTAACCAACTGAGCCACTCGGCCGGCCCTTAGCCTATATTTTAATCATGAAAATAATTCTGTTTGCTTATCCTCTGGAAAACAATCAAACCATTTGCTGGGAATCAAAGAGCTGCAAATAAAGAACTGCGGGAGAGTACGCAGATACTTTTTATAGACAGCATTAGATTGATCTCAGCTGATGAGCACTATAAGCTATGACTGTATTATCTCAATTTTAAAGGTGATGAAGCCAAGGTTCAGAGAATCTCAGTAGCTTGTCAAACACACACAGATAGAGCAGGGAGGGCAAGGATTTGACCCCAGGTCTTCTGATTTCCAGATCAGTGCTTTTACCTAGCTCCACTATAATGATTCCACTAGCCCTTTTGAATGGCTATACAGGCAGACCTTGGAAATATTGTGGGTTCAATTCCAGACCACCCCAATAAAGTGAGTATAGCAATAAGGCGAGTTGTAATCTTTTTGCAGGTATAGGGTCTTACCTTCAATTGGTAAGCAGCCCAACATCTGTAAAGCTCAATAAAGTGAAGTGCAATAAAACGAGGTATGCCTGTAGTTACTTATGTACAGATTTATAATGGTTGACAATTCACATACTGTTTTTATCAGCCACATGCAAAAATCATAGATTAAAATCTAACAGAATTTTAAGAGGACACAATTATAAAAGTAATGGGGGCTCAGAGGGGCTGAGAGACTTGTCCAAGATCAAACAGCTACTAAGAGGCTGAGTGTGTATTTGACTTTAGGTCTGTGATGGCTTCAAAACAGGGGCACTTTTTAACTAGTTAAAGGCACATATACAGAGCAGCGGAGAGGAAATCGCATGAGGACAGGAGTCAGAAGCCATGGATTCCCATCCCTGTTCCAATCTTTCAGTTATAGCGCTTCGGACAAGTCCTTTGCCCTTTGTAAAATGGAAACCATGATCTCTGACGTACTTGACTGATAAGTGAAGATCCAGATGGACGTAAAAGTATTCTGAAAATCCCCTCGAAAAAACAACAACAGAAGGTAAGAACTGGGGCAGATCAGTCAGTCAGACCTGGATTCAAATTTCGGCTCTGCCACTTATTGGCTGTGTGACTTTACCTCTCTTATGCCTCAGTTTTTACATCTGCAACATGGGGCTAAATCAAGTACCTACCCCAAAGGTTCGATTAAAAGAGCTCATCCATTTACACAGGTTTTACCTGACACAGTACTGGGCCAAAAAACTCAGCCACTATTACTGTTATAATTGTGCCTCTCGGGTCCTTCAACTTCTTTGAAGTACGGACTTTCTGAGCTACCGAACGTGCCCTGGGCTTCAGTTTCGGTCCTGTTATTCTCTGCCTTCTTCCTAGGACCCTGGCTCCTCCCTTCTCCACAGCCGTCTTAAAACCCTCCAGGAACCCCAGTCCCCTTGCCTCCTTTCGGCGCCGTGCCTTACTCGACGACCTTGGCTGGGTGCCCGTGGTCCCCGTAGACCAGAGCCCGGACCCGGGAGGGCTCGGCAGATGCGGAGTAGGAGGCAGCCGCAGACCAGCGGCGGCCCGAAACGGGCAGCAGGCCCCGCCGCAGCTGACCCAACAGCTTGCCGCACACCCACATGCTTGCTCCAGTCAACTAAGTGCCGGACATCCGGGATATGTCATCTCCCCGCGCCGGCGCGCCGGCTCCCCGGCTCCACCCCCGCCGCGTGGCCACGCCCCTTGCTCCTTTTAAAGGGCTGTCCCCTTCCTCTGCTGCCCGCGCGGTGGCGCCTGGTGAGACTACGCGGGGAGCGAGGGATGGGCGGTGGAGGGACCCGTGAGAATCGTGGAGACTTCGAGCTCGCCAAAGCTGATCTGATAAGGAAAGTCTGAGACTGACCCAAAGCTGTATCTACAGTCTGCGATTTGGTGTTTGATTTGGGGGAAGACATTTCCCTGCTCCTGGCCTCCCCACCATTTATTGAGTGCTCACTGTGCCAGGCCCTTCAAGACATTATCTCATGTAATATATATTATAATAGCATAGGGAGGCAAAGCTTATTTCCCTACACCGAGTATAGTGCATGTTAGCTTATGTGGGAGGCAAGAGTGTTGGGTTTGGAGTTAGAAGATTTAGGTTCAAATCTCAGTCCTACGGTTTTCCTAGTTTAGCTACCTTGGGCAAGTGACTGAATCTCTGAGTCTGTTTTCTCATCGGTACAAAGGGGGAGAATATACCTTCTTTAAAATTGTTAGGTGCCTCGATAGCTCAGTAGGTAGTGCGTCAGTCTCATAAAATTGTTGTGAGGATTGGTTGAAACAATAGGGTAATGTTATCTTGGATGGGAAAGCACCTTGTAAAACGCTAAGCGTGTTCAGATATAAGGGAGGGATTACAGGGAGGAGGCCCCCCCTCTAAAAATGCTCACAGTGTAGAAAGGGATTAAATGGGACAATCGAAGTGCTTTGTAAAAAGATGTAGCCCAGTAAAGACACTAGATCATATTTTTGGTGAAGATGTGAGCATAACTAAAACCCCAGCTGAATGTTAGAGCATGATAGAGTGCACTGCTGGAGTGAGGGAGAGAAGGGCTCGGGGATGGGGATGGGATAGGGGCTCTTGATGAGGTGCTGTTGGAATCAGTCCTGTGACTCAAAATCTCCAAAATGCATAAAAACCACCCAAGGTTCCATCTCAGACCTTCTGAATTAGAAGCTTGGGGAGGGGGTCCAGGAATGTACATTTCTTGTAAGCTCTCAGGAATATTCTGATGCAGGTGACCCTGGGAACCCGCGTTGAGAAACGCTGAGCCAGGCTTTGAAGGGTAAAGAAAGTTCCTTTTACTGGCTTTTGTTGACCCAAAGCTTGCCAAGTCAGAGCCTTTCCTCTGAGGAAGAGAAGAAAGCAAAGTGCTGTGATGAAGAATGCAGGCTGGATTCTGGCAAATCTGTATTTGAGTCCTGGCTCTGCCACTTTCCAGCCATTTGGTTTTGGAAAAGTCACTTGGCCTCTCTGCGCCTCCATTTCCTTATCCTTAAAATGAAGGAAATAATAGTGTCTGTTTCAAGACTGTTGTGAGGATCAAGTGAGATATTATTATATTCACTTCACTCGAAGCACTTAGCACAAGAATGCTTGGCACATGAAAGCATTTGATAAATGTTATTAGGGGGTTACTGTGAAGATTAAATGAAAAATGTCACATGTAAAACACCCAGACTAGGGTCTGGCTCATAGTATGTGCTCAAAAAGTGTATGTACTTGTTTTTATTATAGAGAAAGCTGGTGTCCCATGATGGATGAAACAGTCCCACACTGAGCATGCGCATGTACACACACACACACAGACACACACACACAGACACACACACACACACACACTACCCAGCCTTGCTTATCTTCTATTTTCATGGTGACACACACACAGGTCAACTTCTGTTGGAAGACTTTCTAAGTGACATTGAGCTGTTGACGTTATCTTCTGTACCAAATTGGCTCCTCTGAATTCCGGGGGCAACCTGGCCAGGAAGCCTGGAAAATCATCCAGCGGGTCTTCTTCCTTGGGGCTGGATTGAGTCCTCCTATCCATCCTGATAAACCCCACTTTTGGTCCAGGCCATCAGCTCTTATTTGAACTGTGTCAACAGCCTTCTTCCTGAAATCCTCTCCCTTCTTTCTTCCTCCACAGTTCCTTCTTTTTCAGGCCTTCAGAATGATTTCCCCCCCGCCCTAACAGAAAGACCAGGTTTTGTCTTTCTCTTGCTTGAAGTCCTTCTGTGACTCCCCAATATTTAGGGAGAACCAGAAGCTACAGTTCTTTATAGCTATTGATATATTGATATATTAAAATTGTAAACAAAACTATGATTCTGTGCTAATTCTATTCTTCTTTCACATTATTGACAGGTACTAAAATCTTCAGGAAAATGTATGAGGGAAAAACGCCTTAAAATGAAAACACTATCATCCTTTAAATTAATCTCCTGTCTTGCAAATTAGAAAAATATGACTATGGTTTTAATTCTATGGAAAACCCCTCAACTTGAACACCTGGGTCTCCCTAGGGGAAGGTTTGAGAACCACTGATCAAGGGGTTCAAGTCATTCAATCACGCTGACCTTACATAAGACCTTCGCACTTTGACTCCCCCATTGTCTTGATCTTCTGCTGTTGTACTGTGCATAGCCTATGATCCATCCAATTGCACCTGATACCCACTTTCCCAAGTACCTCCATGTCTCATGCTTTTATTTAGCTTGCTCCTTTGGCCTGAAATGCTCTTCCCTGCCTTGCTTATCTGGGAAACTCCAGGGTTAAATATAATTTCTTTGATGTTGTTTCCGAAACCTTTAGGCTGAGTCAACCCCTGCTGCCTTTGTGTTTTCTCTGAACTGGTGTTATGGCCTTTACGACTCAGTCTCTTATTTATTTATGTGCCCATTTCCTCCTCCAGGCAAGCGAAGAACCATGTTTGGTGCATCTCCATGACACCAGCACCCAATATGGGGCCTGGCACAGGGTAGGTGTCATCAATATTCCATGAGTTGAAAGTAATTGAATTTCCCAATGGCCTGGCCATGTCTGTGGTGCCGTCTCCTTTTCCTTAGATTTGGGTCATTCCAGACCAGGACTTTCCTTTTTCCTTCCCTCTCCTTTCTAGAACTATAGAAGTTTGTGGTCTTTTTCAAGTGAAACAGAATGTTCTCTTTTCATCTGTTGCTTATGTTCTTTCTCCTTCCATCACAGTCTCTGCCCTGCAGACTTCCCCTGCACAAAGAATGGATGGGTGTGGAGTCAGTCAGGTCTAGGTTTGAGTCCTGAGCCCCCATTTACTAGCTGTGTGACCTTCACCAAGTGCCTTGTGCTCTCTGAACCTTGGTTTCCACATCCAAAAAAGTGGAATCAGTGGTAAAACCCGTCATGAGGCTCCTGCAAGAGTCCTCTGCAAACAGCGGCATTTGTGGTTGTTTCTGCTGTTCACCCGATTCCTCTCCTTGGGTTTCCTTTTCTGTGTAATCCTTTCTGTTTCTTCTCTGCTCCAGCATGTCTCTGGCTCCATTTCTTCCCCATCACTTTCTTTTTGCTTCTGTCTTTCTCCCTGAGACTCTCTTTGTTTAATTATCTGCCCTTGGTTCTTGCCTGCTGTCTTTTTGGTCCCTTCCTAGCTCAGCCTGGAACTCCTCAGTGATCACAAAAGAGGAAACCAAGAGCCAAGGAGCCCATAGCCCTGCCTTCTCCAGGCCCAGGGTAACCTCGGTTGTGCCAACCTCATGGAGCAAGCTGAGAGCTGAGACAGTGTACAGGGAGGGCCTAGAAACACCTTGAACTTCTAGACTCTGTCCAATGTCACTGCCCGTTAGTTAGACCCATTTGTTCATTCATCTCTGCCTCCACAGCCTGTTCTCCATTTGGCTGCTTGGGGGATTTTTTTTTTAATAAAAATGAGAGATCAAAACTTTTTACTCTTCTGTTTAATGCTTCAGTGGCTTCTCATTACTCTTAGGGTTTAACCCAAAGCCTCATGGTTTTTTATATGACCTGCAGGCCCTGCCAGCCTCTCCAGCTACACCTGTCTCTCCTTTTCTCCCCACTCGCTCCATTCCAGCCACGTTGGCCTTGCTGCTCCTCAAACCCATGAGCTTCTGCCTTTGCACAGGCTGTCTTCTCTGGCTGCGGTGCTCCTCCTCAGTGAGTGCATGAGGCTAGCTCCTTCTCCTATTTCAGGTGTCAGCTCAAATGTCACCATGTCACTTCCTCAGGGAGACCCCCTACCCCTCCAATTATTTATCACAACACTCCATTCATTTCCTTGAGAGTACACATCTTAGATTGTAATTATATATTTATTTGCACATTTGCTGTTGGTATCTCCCACTAAAACATAAACTTCGTGAGGACAAGGACAATGTCTCCATCCATCCATCCATGCATCCATCCATCCAATATTTATTGAGTACCAACTACATAGTAGATACCAAGCACTGGGATACAAGAAAGAGTCCTTGCCTTTAGGGAGCTCATGTTCTAGAGGTGGAGAAAAATAAGGAATACATCATGTAGTAGGTGCTCTGTTTAAAACTGCAGTAATCTCCTTCCCCGTTCACTCTTTCTCTCCCCCATTTCTCTGGTATATCACTCTCTCATACACCAGAAACAGTGGCTGATCACTGTCTCATATACCATTGGAATTTGTTTTGGTTGTTTGTTGTTCTTGTTTTACCACTGAAATGTAAGCTCCATGAGGGTGTTTTATTTTATATTTCCAATTTGGCTAATAGTAATTGCTGAATAAATGAATCAGCACCCAGATTGGTTCCAGATGGAAGGCAGTTCTCAGCCCCAATTCAATTCAAGCCAGATGACCTTGATTCAAATCTCGGTGCTGCTGCATACTAATACATAACCTTGGGAAAGTAACTTCTGTCTCTGTCCCTCAATTTCCTCAACTGTATGATGGGAACAATAGTGGTGAGGATTAAATGAGTCCATGTGGGTTAAGCACATAGGTGTCTGGTCTTACATAGTAATGAATAACTAGTTTGTGGTCTTTGTACAAGGGCTTATACAGGATAGAGGCCTAAATAACAGTTAAGCTGCGTAGCCAGAAGGCAGACTAGAACCAATGAGAGTGAGTGAGAGAGGTGGACTTCATGGCATGAAAAGGAAGAACTTTCTAAAAGCCAGCATTGCAAGGAGAAATAGATGAATCCACTATCATAGTTGAAGACTTCAACACCCCTCTGTCAGAAATGAACATTTCCAGCAGGTAGAAAAATCAGTAAGGACATAGTTGAATACCATAACATCATCAATCAACTGGATATAATGGGCATCTATAGCTACTTCATCCAACAATAGCAGAATACACATTTTTCAAAAGCTCACTTGTAATATTCAACAAATAGGCCACATTCTGGACCATAAAACACACCTTAACAAATTCAGAAGAATGGAACACATACACTGATAGCTCTTAGACCACAATGGAATTAAACTACAAGTCAATAGCAGAATGATAAATGGAAAATCCCCAAATATTTGGAGATTAAAGATTAAATAACACACATCTAAATAACACATGGGTCAAAGAAGAAATCTCAAGAGAAACTTAAAAATATTTTGAACTAAATGAAAAACAAAAGCACAACTTATCAAAACTTGTGGGATGCAGCAAAAGCAGTGCATACAGGGGAATTTGCAGCACAGAGTGCATATATGAGAAAAGAAGAGAGATCTAAAATAAACCATCCTAGTTTTTGCCTTAGGAAACTAAAAAAAGAAGAGCAAATTAAATCCAAAGGAAGCAGAAGAAAAATAATAAAAATTAGAGCAGAAATCAGTGAAATGGAAAACAGGAAATCAATAGAGAAAAAGCAACCAAACCAAAAGCTGATTCTTTGAAAAGATCAATAAATCAATAAGCCCCTAGCCAGGCTAACTAAGAAAGAAGAGAGGGGACACAAATTACTAATACAAGAAATGAAAAGGGGGGGGCATCACTACAGATCCCACTGACATTAAAAAGATAATAAAGGAGTACTATGACCAACTCTAAAAGCTAGCATTTCCAAAGACCCAACCACCAGCTATTGGTAGGTGATGAGCGCGCTGTCCTTGGAGATAGGTGTGAGTGCATAATTGGAGGGGCCTAGGTAGAGGGGATACAAGGGTTGAGAGGCCCGGTGTCTTTGGGTCTCTGTCTCTGAGAGCACTGTGAGAGAACTAGGTGTGGGCAGTGAGCTTGCTCGCTTGAGAAGGTCGACACCAGCCCAGTGCAGAGGCGGGTAGGGTCCGGGCCCACGTTGGGACTTCCAGGAGTGGGTGCAGGAGTGGGGGAAGGGCGCGCCTGGGTAGCGGGAAACCTGAACCGGCAGCGGCACGCACGACTGTCAGCAGGGGGCGCCGCGAGACCGCGCAACGCGCAGCCGGGTCTGACGTCAGCGCCCCGCTTGCTTGGGCTCCCGCTCTGGACTCGGCGCCAGTCCCGCTCCGCGCGGCGCTGCTTCGCTCCGGCTCTGGCTCGCCTCGGGCTCGGCTCGGGCTCCGGCGGCGCCCCCCGCGCCGGGCCCCGGGGCAGGCAGCGGTGCATTATGGCCCGCGCCCAAGCTCTCGTCCTGGCGCTCACCTTCCAGCTCTGCGCGCCGGAGACCGAGACTCCGGCAGGTAAGCGAGTGTCGGTCGGACCAAGCTTGCCCCGCGGAGTCCCCGGGCCCGTGGCGTAGCTCCGCAGAAAGTGTGAGTGTTGGGTGACCGGGCGTTACAAGCCTGTCCCCTGTGTGTGTCTGAGTGTTGAATGTGCGATCCTGTGCTCAGGGTGTTCTGTGTCTGTGGATGTTGTGTGTCCGTGAGTTGTATGTGCAAGAAAAGGTGCTGTGTATGTTGTGTGTCCACGAGTACGTTGGAGTGAATGTTGTGTGCATAGAGGCATTGGGTGTGAGCTGAGGGTCTGTGTGTCTGCCCGTGTGTAGTGTTTGTGCGGCGAAGTAGGATGTGGGTCCGTTGTGTGTGCATCTGAGTTTGCTTGTGTGTCCGGAGTTGTATCTGCTATGTGTTGCGTTTGTTTGCATTTTGTACGCCGTGGCAGGGAGTGCTGTTTGTTGTGTGTCTGAGACTGTGTTGTGTGTTTGTGTTATGCGTGTGGCCGAGAGTGCTCTGTGGATTTTGTCCGCGTGTGGATCAGGGAACGCGTGTGTCGTGTGTGTGCTTGTGAGATTCGTGTACGTGTGTGAAGGCGTGGGAACGGGCCCGGAACGTATGTCGGTGCGCTGTGTGCGCGATGTGTACGTGTGGGAGTGTCTGGGGTTGGTGGTGTGCGCCTCGGGGGGCTGCGTGGGTCCGAGTGAATGCCAAGTGTACCGAGAATGCGTGTGTAGGAGCGTGTCTGGAGCGGATGTGAGTGTGTCCGTGCGTGCTGGCTGCGTGTCCAGGAATGTGGCGAGTGTGGTGCGCTCCTGGGCCGTGGCTGTGTGCCCAGGGCTGTGGGCCCAGGGCCGCCCGAGGGGCTGGTGGCAGAGTGTGTGTGTGTGTGTGTGTGTGTGTGTGTGTGTGTGTGTCCCGCGTTTGTGCGTGTGTGGCACAGGGGCCCGGAACAAGTTGTCGAGGCGGCGTCCCTGTCCCTACCCGGTCGGGCCGGGCCGAAGGATCCGGAGGGAGTAATGGGGACCCCGCGGCCGCCGACTCCGACATGTCGGGCGGTTTGTTGTTTCGCAAGTTCCGCGCGGCGCTGGCAGGCGGCTGATCCGAGGCGGCGCCCGGGCTGCGGGGCGCCGGGTGGGTGGCGGGGAGAGCCCGGAGCGGGAGGCGGACGTGAGGGGCCTCTGGCAGGGCTGGGCCGGCGGGCGCTCCTGGGGGCGCAGGGCCGCAGCGACATCCCGCTGCTGGGCAGGGGCCGGGCCCGGGCGGGGCTGCGACGTCCCGGCGCGGGCAGGGCCTGGCTCTCCGCCGCGGGACGGCGCCCCCTCCGGTTGCTCGCAGGAGGCGCCGCGGACCCCGGGGTCTCCCGGGACACTCCCCTGGTCCACTCCGCAACTTTGTTCGGCCTCCCCGCCGGCCAGGACTGCCGTACGTGTGAGAGTGTGTACGTATGTCTCTGCTTGTATGCTGTGTGTGATTGCACTGTCTCTGGGTGTGTTTCGGAGCCTGGCGTCGTGTGTGTGTGTGTGTGTGTGTGTGTGTGTGTGTGTGTGTGTGTGTGTGTGTACGTGCGATGGCGTATCAACGTGTGTATCTGGAGTTCGTGTCTGTGTGTCCGTGTGTGCTGTGGACCATGTGTCGGCTATGTTTCTGTGTGCGTGTCTTTGCTCCCCACTTCTGAAAGCCCCCACATCCCACCCTGAGGCCTGGGATTCCAGACTGTGGCCCTCTCCAGCAGAGTTGCACCCGATCCTCCCCTGGGGTGAGGGTGGTCAGTCCCCCTCCAGGAGGCCTCAGCTTCCCCCATCTCCACCTGTTGGGCGGCTCCCGTCTGGTACCCCGGGGGCAGAGTAACCGGGAGACGCCCCAGGTAGGGATCAGCACCCAGACACGTGTGGGAGACTCCTCCAGGCCTCCGGCTTCCGAGAACTGGTCTCCCCCGGTAGAGTTTGTGGCCCCGCCGCCCTCTCGGGGCTCTCGAATCCCCCCTCCCCGCACTCCCGCGGTCTTTCCGCGGGGTCAGAGCTGGGGACTGGCCCTGAGGCCCCGGGGCCATCTGGCACCGGGTCATCAGGCACAACTTTAACTTCCACCGCTCCATGTCTGAGACAACGCCAAGGAGACCTCCTCCCTATGCTCCCCCAACCCCTCCTCTGTCCTGCAGCAACTTTGCCTCCCCTCCCACCTTGAGATCAAACCCAGGGGGTACAAATACGCTTTCACACACCTGCCACCTTCCCCTTCACTCCAAGATCCCTCCTGTGACCCAACTCCTGCCAGCAGGGGGGATTGTTAAGAACTGAGGTTTGGAAGTGAGATCTCGAGCAAATTACTTCCATTCTTCAGGCCTCAGTTTCCTCATCTGCTTTGTAGTAATGGTGTATGGTACCTGGTAGATTTTAACGTAAGGGTCTGTGAGCACCAGGGAACAAAAGATGTTTCTGAGGACTGTTACAGAGCCCCAGAGGCTGTGATTTGAAGTTGGGGGACCTGGGTTCAAATTGTGCCTCCAACTCTTGCTGTCCTTGTGACCTTGGGCAGGTCACTTCAACTTCTAAAGTTCCTGGTACCCTTGTAGCTATTGCTTACTGTTAGAGCTTAATTTAGAAATCCTTAGTAGAAAATGCGGGATCTGCACTGGCCCCCAACCTGGGTAGAGTCAACCCAGCTTCCTGAATGTCTCCTGAGTGCCTCTACCCCGTTTAGGGTGGGTGTGTGATGTCTCTCAGCCATGTAAATCTGGCAGTAATTTATTCTGCTGTGCTCTAGTTCATTTTGTCCTTTTGGTTGCTGGAGTTGAGGACAGCAGGAATGAGGGAGAGGCTGCCCAGTGGTTTCAGGTTGGGCAATAAAGGCTTGTCTGGGCAGCTGGCCCTTCTGAACCATGGGGCTGGGGACTCCATAGGAAGTGGTGAGATGGGAGTGCTGAGCTCCTGGGCAGCTCCTGCCCAGCTCAGGTGTCAGGAAAAATCGAGGCTGGGACCCTGCTTGCTCAAGGCATGCTGCCATCCTTCCACGCTTTCATCAGCTAAGCTAGAGTTGGGGGTGGCCTGTTCATGCAGGTCTGGATTAGCTTGAATTGTAGGGGTTCGTTGTTTCTCTCTTTCTCCTTCAACCCCCTTCCCTCCTCCAAGCCCTTTCCCTGCATCCTGATGCATCCTATCCTTTCTCAGGATCTCTCTCATCTGTCCCCATCTCTCCACCCTCAGCCATTTCTCAACTGCAGGAAGGCTCCAGCCTCTTCCTTCCATCCCTTCCTCCATGGTGCCAGAGATCTTTTTAAAACAAAAACGCATGTTGGAACCCTTTTGAAGGCTCCCCATTGCCTTCAGGGTTTAAGTCCCTCCCCCTTTGCTCTGTTGCCTGTTCTATCCCCTGCCTGCCTGTCCAGCCCCATCTCATTTTGTGCCCCTTGTCCCTGCATCCTATGCTCTGGTCACTTTGACCTACTTATCAATATCCCCTAAATGCCCATTGCCCACTGTCTCCTCTCTGTGCCTTTCTACAAGCTGTGCGTTCTCCCCCAAACTCTGTCACGTCACCTCTTCACCTGGTGAGCTCCAGCTCCTCCTTCAGGTCTCAGCTTAGGCATCACCTCCTGCCTGAAGTCTTCCTTGGTTACTACCTGTTCTAGCCAAGGAAGGGAAGGTGGGGTTGATTGGATTGTTTTCGTAGCATTGTAATTATTATAATTACAGTTTATTGTTCCTTTTCCCTTACAGACCATGAGCTCTGTGAGGACAGGGATCGAGTATTTAGTTCACCTCTGAATCCTTAGTGCCAGGCACAAGGCCTGGCCCACTCGTGCTGAGTGAAATATATGTGGCATGAAAGAACGAATGAAGTCCAGCGGGTTAAGTTCTGAGCTGGAGGTGCCAGATGGGGGCGCACTGATTCCACTGAAAATTGAGACTAAAAAAATAGGTTTCCCTCCAGGAATCTGGAAAATTCTGCTGGGGGATGGTGTTGTGTGCGAAAAGGACATGGAGAGAGTGTCATCAGGGAGCTGTGAGCTGGGCAGGTTAAGTCCCTGGCAGAGAGAAAAGGAGCAGGTCTCTGCCTGCCAGCCCCTCCCCCAGCTCCCCGCACTGCCTCCCGCTGGCCTCCAACCCCACCTCCAGCAGCTGGCGAGGCCTGTCAGTGGACAGGCCTTTGTGCTGGAGGCCTTGGCAGTTGGTGAGAGGCATTGAGTCCCAACCGTCAGTGTGAGTGTCTGGGGAGAAGGGAGGCTCCTGCGTCAGGAGAGGGGACCCTCCCTCAGTCCCAGATCTGGAAGTGGGCAGGGAGGGTCACGGCCTCTGTTCTGGCTGCTTGTGAGCCTGAGGGAAGGGAAGAGAGCTGCTCCCTGTGGTGACCCCTGCAGGTGGGGTTAGGCTGGTTGAGTTGTGTGCAGGTGTGATCCTGGAATCTGGGCTGTCAGAGTGGGGAGCGTGTGTGTGTGTGTGTGTGTGTGTGTGTGTGTGTGTGTGTGTGTGCATGACTGTGGTTGTGTGAATGTAGCCTGAGGCATAGGACATATGTGTGGACTGTCAGGGCATCTAGCTATCTGGTTACCACGTGTGGCAGCACCTGAGTTTGGAGTAGGGAGGCAACCAGATGCTTTGATCCCTAGGCAGCCCAATGCTAGGGTATCTGGGTCTCTAAGTGTTCAATTCCTGGAGTTTGGGTGTGGAGCTATTTGAGTGGGTGGTGTCTCAGTATCTAGGTGTGGGTCTCCCAGTGCCATGAGGGTCAGGGTGTGCCAACATAAGGATATCCTAGTGTCTCTGGATCCGGAGGTGGGTGTATCCCGGTGTCTGGGAGGCCTTAGGTTAATGCATGTTCAAGTGCAGGAGTGTCTCTGTGTTGTGTCTTGCTGTGGGGCTGTCCAGGTGCCTGCGTGTCTGGGTGTCTGGGTGTGGAGTATCCAAGTGTCTGGATATCTGAGTGTAGGATGTCTATGTATCCAGCAGTAGGGTACACATGCATTGGAGTATGTGGGTGTTTGGGAGTCTGGCTATGGCATGCCCTGTGTATCTGTTTGTATGTTT